TCAGAATATGAAATTTTGCTATCAATTATTCCACCTCTTTCTTTACATTCTGAATGTCGCTCCCTGATTTATTCCATCTAGGAGATTGAATAAATACATAAGTTTCCGTTCAAGGTTTTTGACCGTGGATTCTTCTTGGAGTTGTTGCCACCCGATTTTGAAGCTATATATTGTCCAATTCTCTCAGAGGGAGATGGGATGCGCTGGTTGCTTCAGTTTCTTGAGGAAATTCCACCGATCTGTACTCTCATTGAATGAGACATCTGACCAGTCTTCCCAAGATTTTTTGCTGCCTCACAGCATGGAAGATGCCTATTCTTACAATGGAGGCAGTGATTGTAGCTCTTGGCGACGCGGTAGGAGTTCTGAGGAGATCCTTTTAGCAAGAGCTCGAAAGGGATTGATATGCAGAGAAGTGCCAGTGAATGAAACTCGGAAGGTCACTATCTCTGAGGTAACTAGAAAATAATTACATTTTTAAAAGGAAAATATCTTCTCCTTCTGATTTATTTAGTTAGGAGATGCTAGAGTAGCTGCTGAATTTTATCAAAATGAATTGTAAAGCACATTATATTAATGCTTCTTGTTGAATACTCTTTATGGGTTTGCGCAGAGAAATCATCGAGGATTGGATTCAATGGAACCAATTTACATTATTAAAAAAACTTGATAATCTTCAAGTTTGATCATATGTTTTTTCTTCAAGTTTTCTTGTTTTAAGTGGAAGAAGTTAATAGATTTGTTTTCATGACAGATCATTTAGAGAATCAGTAGGATACTCACGTTCAAGTCAGCTTTTGGGTAATTAATGGGGTTCTAGCAAGCCATTTTAAAACTTTAATAATTTTTCAAAAATATGCTTTAGTAGCATAGCTTGACTCCTTTACCATTTGATACAATGGATTTATGCTGGTTTATACCTTCTGTAACATATGGCCCGCACTTTTTCTCAACCACATCTTTCATGCTTATAGGTAACCTCCAGATGCTTGATAGCAACTGTGAAGTGATGTTTATGCAGATGGTTATGCATTGTTAGTCTTATTTTTCACCATCTTTTACACACATAATCGTTCACATGCGTGCACACACTTATACACAGAGGCCATATCTATTTTCCTCTCCCCTCCATGATTTTAACTGTACGTTTTTCAGGTCACTACAAGCAGTTCCCTACCTACAATGTTCTGAATGAAATTTTAATGGGACAACTATTTACACCACTATCTCTTGTTTGGAACTTTAAATGATTATGTTAGCTTATGTTTGGCATTTATTGTTTTTAGGATGAAAATGGAAATAAGATGATTAATGAGTATGTTCGGGAGCGCAAAATTGGGTCTGGAAGCTATGGCAAAGTGGTAAGACTTGTTTTAATATTATCAATCATTCAATCGTTCAGTTATTTAATTTAATTAATTGCTTTGGTTGTAATAGGTTCTGTACCAAAGTGTTAAAGATGGAAAACATTATGCAGTAAAGGTACTCAATATTGGTTTTTGCATCCACTTTTGCCTTCATTGTGAACATTGATACTATACTATTTTGATAGGTATCTTTTTGTTTTTGTTGTTGTTTGTTGTTATTGTTGTTTAACGGTGAGAAAATCATATATCTTTGATTGGTGGTGGTTATCAACATGTTACTGAACCTGTCATCTTCATACAATATCCTTAGATTCACAAGTCATTGAGATGTATTATTCTGAATAGAACAATAAACTGTTGAGGCTTCTATAAAAAATCAACTTGTACATCTATAGGTACAGGTAGATTTCTATCCATTATGTCTGTGCTACTCATTGGCATACTCCGCAAAACCTGTCTCTGCCTCTATGCTGTGGTAGTAAACATTGTATCATGTGTTGGTTACTTTTCATGAGTAAGCTTTATTTTCACCATCTATTTTCTAAGCATATTTTTCGATTCACAATTTGGATGTTTGTTCGAGTTTTCTTTTCCTGACATGTCGTTTTCATTTTTGTTGGATATTAAGTGAGTGTGATGGAACTGTTTTCAAGGCCTCTTCACATCTCATTATTCAAGGGGATGTTTTATTGTCCTTCTTTTATACCCAAGTTTATGTAATAGTTTCATTTATTTGATGTTAGAATGTGGTATTTGTTAACGCGTGAGACTGAGTTTTTGAGTTATTGTTACTCTCGTGGGTTTTCTTTGACAACCAATGCTTTTGTTTTGTGAAGATCATCTAAAACAGGCATATCTAAGCATTTATAGATGCGCCAGATTATGTGGTTGTGCTCTTCAGCATCAGTACATTAAATTATTTTTCATTTTTCATTATATGAGCTTGCTAGGTACTGGCTTATGTCCTGTCTTTCTTTCTTGTTGCTAGGTACTGGCTTATTTTTCATTTATACTAGTGAGCATTATTAGATTAGATGCATCCAATACACACTTTCTTATTGTTCTGTCTTTCTTTCTTGTCCCATAAACTTGACTGGGTGATCTACTTATTTCCATCCAATTCTTTTCATATTATGTAGTTTGTTGTTTTTTGTAGTTGTATCCAGTATGATAATTCTGCATTTTATGTTCTAATGCAGGTTTTCCACAAATCGCATTTGTTGAAGTTGCGGGTGGCACCTTCAGAAACTGCCATGACCGATGTTCTTAGGGAGGTGAGTTTTTTCCCCCATCTTTGTTCTGAGCGTTAGGGATTAGATGTAGTTAGCTTGTCTAGAGAAAAGCAGAAGCAAAATCTCAAGAAAAAACCTCGATTGTTGGAATTTGATGTTTGTGTTTATGGTTCAATGCTCCTCTTGTATTTGTGTTTACGATTATGTAACAGATGGAGTAAATATATTCATCATTTTTCATCTTGACAGTTACCTCAAACAGAAATAATAGCATAGTTTTTTGCTACTTGCAGGTGTCCATCATGAAAATGTTGGATCATCCCAATATAGTGAAACTCATTGAGGTGATTGATGACCCACTCATAGACAACTTCTACATGGGTATTCATTCACATTTTTTCCATATATTTTGATGTATTATCTTTCTTAAACCAGCTGTTGTTTTTGCATTCTATTTAATTTGTTATCACTTTGCTATTATATTAGAATTTTGTGATTGACATTAGTGGCTTTTATTATCTTCACTTTGCAGTTCTAGAGTATGTAGCAGGCAAAAGGATGTGTGACTTTGATTCTTGTCCAAGAGATGGTATTGGAGAAAGTGAATCAAGAAGATATCTACGAGATGTTGTTTCTGGTCTCATGTATCTCCATGCTCATGTAAGATTTTTATTCTGCAGTTTATAAGTATGGTTTTGTGCTAGCAAGTTTCGATATCAGCAATATAATATTTTTGCTGCTTTTTCTGCATTAGTCTCATGCTATAATAATGATGATGATATGTAGCACATGCAGTACTCGTGCTCTGCTATCTCTGATCATCCTCTTTCATTTGTGGTGAAATGAATTGCTGTGTGATTATTCAGCTGCTATCTTTTCTTCTTCTATTTTACAGAGCACAATGTCACTGGTAACCAAGCTATAGTGGTGAAACGTAAGATGACTAGCCCGTTAACTACCAGCACAAGGGACATGGTTGTTCTTTAGTATAAATTTAGAAGTGAGAATCATACGATGCAACGATTATCTATACTAATATAGAAAGAACCAACTGGGGTATCAAAAATGGATGAATGGCGGACAAGTCCTCCTTTATAGTTATGCACAAAAGGGCAATAAGATAATTTTGGCAATGAAAAGATATAGCAAAAAGAATAAAAGAGTACTTTGTCTTTTTCATATTTTATCCATGTTACATTTTCTTTCTCATATACAAGCATTAGCTCTTCCATCTCACATATAACTCTATAAAAAAAATCCTTTTTTCCTTTTTTCCTTTTTTCCTTTTTTCTTGAAATTGCCCACTCTATATAACTGTAATATCTATACTAATTTAGGAAAAACAAGTAGAGATATAAGTTTGAAGGAGTGAAGATATTTCATTCCAAATTAAGGGTAATATGTTTATTTGCAGTTAAAACAAGTCATAACCTCTCTTTCCCATATCATTTGACTTTGAAGAGATTAAGCACGTGCAAGCTCCCAAAAAAATTTTGAGGTGCTCACATGGCTTTAAAGTTAACTTGAAACATATACTTACTAAGAGACAGGTGCTAGAGGATCTATCATAGCAAGGATCATATTTGCATTGGTTATAATTAAAATAAAAGTTAATTAAAGCAGCATCATACAAACACAAATTATAAGGATCAATTACTTACACTAAAATCTAAGAAATATGAAAGTTGTTAAGTACCTAACCATATTCAGAAAATTGCTCATGAAATTTGCAAACTTCATATTGAATGTTGTGTTGGCTTATGTTCTGAAATAAATGGATCAAAATTTACAGATACAGTATCAACAAGAGATGTAATGAATTGATATACAGTCCCAACTTGAAAATTGTAACGAAGGGATCGATATCTGGTGAAATTTTTTATTTTTTCATATTCAAGATATACTTGTCATACCTATCTCTTGGTTTTTTTGTGAAAAAGAAAGTAAAATCAGTTGAGAAAGAATTTATTCTTTAATTAACACCATTCACTAAATTAGTTAAACTTTAAATTATTAATGCTCAAGGTACGTCAAAATGCAAGATTTAAGCTATTGTGTTGGAGACAGAATCAACTAAGATGGTTTGGTCATGTACAATGGAGACTTCTTAGTGCACCGATTAAGAAAAGTGATAGTATTATAGTTAATGGGGATAGGAAATCTAGAGGTAGACCTAAAAGAACTTGGTTAGAAGCTATTAAGAAGGATATGATTATGATTAACTTACGGAGGAGATGTCCCATACCAGAATGGAATGGAAGAATAAGATTCATGTAGCTGACCCTAAACATTTGGGATAAAGGCTTTGATGTTGGTGGAGGTGGTGGTGGTGGAGACAGAATGTTTTGACCATAAAACTCAAAGGAAGTTGCTGGATAGCAGTTTGATTTCAGTTTTGCTTGAATGATTTTATTTGATCCTTGCGGATAACAAAATATTCCTTTGACCATTCATCTTTATACCTGATGTTGGCAGGAAAATTGAAGTTGGTTTTATTCTTTCTGGTTTGCGTTAATAGAGTATTAAGCATTCATGATAGTGGATGTTCATAGATAGGAATGCTGTTTTGGTTTCCATTTTCTAGTATTAAAACCATGTTCTCAAATGTGGATCTGTAGCGTCCTAGTGTCAAAGCCAAGTTGACATTTGATACAATTTAGACTAGCTGAAGGCACTCTTTGAGCAGATCCTCGGTGATTTTTTTAATCTTATGTATTCTCAGTGCAAAGTGCAAACCATCAGTATATGAACCTCAATGACTGTCTCATATCACGGGTATTTGAATTTGATTTGCTTTTAACTTTACTATATTTTCTACTTGTCCCATGATAAAAGAGAGAGCGGTATTTTTTATTTACTTTAAGTAAACACAGGTAACAATTAAAGCGTATGCTTGAGAAAATGTTGCTATTTGAGGAGCTTTAATTGCATAAAAGGTAATCCACTGTAACTTCTCTTGATGTCTATCTTAAATTAACAATTTAACTTTAATACGTGCATCTGCTTCCTCCTTGTTCTTCCACTTGCTATAGGTCTTGGCTATTGCTGTTGTCCAACTACCAACTTTGTAGCAGATAATATGTTAAAATTTACTTTTGTGTTTTTTATTCCTGAATATAGCTTCAGTTCTATATAGACAGTGAACAATAAGAAGACCAATATGAATTAGTTTCCTTCTACCTGTTCTTAACATGGGTTTAGATCCTTGAATGATTGATTGGATTTGCCTATAGCATTTCCAATTTACTAGGAGATTAAAGTGATTTTTGGACAAATTTAATCTTGTCTTTATGTAAACTCTTCTGTAAGCAGATTCACCTTTCCTTTTCTAGACATTCATCATTTTTCCCCTTGGTGGGCCTGTAAATACATAAGCCTTAAATTTCAAGGAATAGGATTTGTGTAGTTATGAAGAGTTCCAACCATTTGGATAAAATAAATTTACTGCTCAAAGCAATTTTCGGATTAAAAAACATACTTCCCTTGTTC